CGAATAGGTAGATCACATATCATATCTGATGGTTTTTGCAAAAAAAAGAATTTTTGTAGAAATTTTTCAACCCATTTCATATTGGTTGAAATCAAACAATCCGATTAAAATATTGTGACTCAAGCAGATTTCGATTCAGAAAGAATCGTTCAGAATCATACTCTTATGTTTTTTTTCTGCTTCCGTATGGCCATATGTGGCGGTTATCGATGACGTTACGATGGTGAGCATTGATGAATAGTGTTGCGCACCTTTTGAAATATGATCGTGTTACGGCACGTATACTGGCTTAAACTATGGAAGTATACAGCCCTATAGTACACAGCGATATACGATCGTAATACGATGCATACCAAAAAGTTGATTTACGGCAGATAATTGGCCGTACTGTAGGCGTTCAAATTTGTTTACGACATCGTAAACGTATGCATATGTTCATTTCTGGTCATCATAATGTTCAATCTAGGTACTAATTCTAATCGATTCTAGTAGAATATAATCAGTACGACTTGGTTTTAGTCAATTCTTATGCTAATGATTATAATCGATTCGAAAAGCTAAACATTTCTAGCCGATTATAACCAATGGCAGTTGATTTTAGAGAAGAAAAAATCATTAACTATTGATGAATATTGATTAGTTCATGAAATCGATTGCAGATAATTAATTAAAAAATCGTAAAATACCAATGCCACAAGTTCATAATCGATTTTATTCGATTTGAATGAAAGAAGCGATTATAATTGATGAAAAAAGAAAAACATTGATTTCGAATCGAATTTGCCAAAAAATCGATTGAAACCTTCAATTTAGTCCCCTAAAAATCATAATTGCTTGACTTTCATCAACTGATTACACCTCAAATTGACGAAAATGACGCGAATGCGTTAATTTTTCTGCTTATTATTATTTTTGCATGGATAATTCAAACATTAGAAAATCCGTTACACATGAGGTTCAATACTGATGGACATAAGAAGATGAGCAGCGGTCATTTTCAGAGTATCAACAAGTTCAGTCAACGTTATATAGAGGATAAGAAATGCTAAAAGAAGGATGAAGAGCGCTATCTCATAAAATCATTTACATATCATTCCCAAAATCATATATTTTCCAGTTTCTTTTATTAATTAACCTATTTAGTAAAGAACAGTGACTAACATCTGATTCATTTTATATTGAGAATACTGATCAGGGGAGAATTGAGCTGTGTTGACACTGAACTGATGTTGTCTCTAGATTCACGAACTTCATATTGTTATAGAACGCAACATTATCGATCACTCGTCAATGGAAACAAAATCAGATTCTGTCAAGTATGTTGGTTTCTTCTTCTTTAATAGCTCAAACCTCTTGCTATTTTTCTATGCAGATGTGAAGTAGAGAAGAGAAAACTAAAGATAATCTTCGGTGTAATTGGCAGTATCATTATCATTGTTGTAATAGCTATCGCAACTGTAATCTGGTTTCACGACAAAAAACCAGTCTTAAATGGAACAAGAACCTTATCTGGTATGTATTGTTGCATACATATTCTTAGTTGCTCAAATGAAATAATGTCAATATGGTTCTATATGATGAATACACATTCCTCTGTTGATGTTTTCTCTTTGATTTAATTATAGCATGGTTACGACAACAATAGAAAGGGGTATCAGAGCGACGATGAATAGTATTCAACTTTTTTCGACAAGAAAATGAACGAATCTGCTTCTGATAATAATGATAGTTCGATGTTGTATTCCTCTAAATACATCTAATCATCGAAAATGTTTAGTGTTCTGGAAAGGATAGTCCCAAAGTTTCGAAAGTTTAAGTCGTATATTTATAGTCATTTGATCTACTTTTCAAGTTTCCAATGATTAAATAGTTTTCAAAAATTTCCAAATTCAAAGCTTGCTAGCTATAAATCAGGCTGTAACTCTGGCAATTCTGGATATCATAAAAATTTCGTAATTTGCTATTTTTGGAGATCTGTACAGAATCCCTTTGATATATGTCTGCTGACTTACAGTGATATCAACTATCATCACCATGCAAAGTATGAAAACCTTGCCAGGTTAGTAGCAAGGCTTTGTACAATATATCCTTATAATGCGGCTCATTGAACACATTTCAAGTATCTCATCCATTAATGTGAGTAGTAACATTATCATTACTGGAACTACGACGACGAGAAGCAGCACTATCACAGAAAATATCACCGATGAATACTTATGTTCGTTTAAACAGACGCTGAATGTATAAAGAAGATACTGCTTAACTTCATTACCCTTTAAATTTGAATTTCTAAAGTTCAGAACCTATTGGAGTAATGCGTCAGTGTCCAATAATTTTTTCTCGATTTGAACGCTACGTACAGTCCACATACAACACGGATCAATATCATCAAATGAGTTGTTTTAAGAGACGTATTTTAACTCCACTTGATAATGTATAAAGTATGTGACGCTGCGTAGAATCAAGTAGACCTGCTAGATGTTAGAAAAATCTTAAATACATCAAAATTCTTCGTGGTTTGGCAAAAACTAATTTATTATCGAGAAAAAGAATATCTTTCGACTCTTGAATTAAATTACTGGAAATATGAATTCACATACTGTTCCTTATTTTCAAGAAGAGATTCAAACTTTTACTCTAATTGTTCAGCAAAGATCGAAAGTAAGAGAAGAACTCTTTGGAACAGTTTATCTACATATAAAATAGATGAGATGTCTTCCCAATACATGTGCACTGCCAAGTAGATGATATTCATTCATGTGCAGGCCTCACCAATAGTAATCTAACATTCAATCAGTCGTACTTATATAAACTAAGAACTACGAGTTTTGGGGTTGCTTTTGGTAATTTCAATAGCGATAATCGCATGGATCTTACAGCTACCAGTTACGATGAGCACTAGAGCTGAGCACAGAACAACTTTTTCTATCCTGTCATGCTGACTTACAGGACAGTAAGAATCCTTATTTTGACTTTTGCTCCTCAAAGTACATATTAGTTTATCAGTTATTTTATAACTAATCTATTTCATATTTATTTTTTGAAGTACAAAAATTAAAGTTTTCCATAATTAGTAATAGTATAAATACAAGAAAGAATAGAAAGTTTTTGATTTATTCTTTTAGCCCTTTTCGATCAGATGTTCCCAAATGACAACATCTGGCCATAAAGGAATAAAAATCTTTAAATTTGTTTTTGGTTCACTGTGGTCAAACCAATATACTATATCGTATAGTCCTAGGAATATATCTATCACTGAAAAATGTATATTCCTCTCCCTACTAATGGGAAGAGACCTTCTATATCCCGATCGGGATATCGAAGCTTCCATGCAACTCCTGCCAGTTTCACATCTACCTTTTTCTCCCAAGACTTAAGTGTGCTAGTTTTGTAGAAATTAATGCTTGGTTTTCATTTGACTCATAGGCTAACTATAGCAGAGCAGGTTCAAAAGTCGATTTAATCGAAAACTAGCCTCGAAATCTGTCTGTCTTATTTCTCATAAACGTTCTTTAGAAATTTCGATTTAACCATTGGATAATGCAGAAAAAGTCATCTATGTCAAACAATTTTTAGGTCTAGATCTCTGGAATCCATTGTTCGAAGAGACTTGCCAATTTGGAAAACATGGTAGTTTATATTACAATCGAACTACCTATAAAATTGTCCATTCACTTGTAAAACTGCAATACATTACAATTAAAATAAGTCTTATACTATACTTATTCAAAAGAAATGTGGGGTGTGAGTGTAGACGTTGATATGAGTTTTATGTTCATTCTACATCCACACCCCTATATCCAATGGTGAAATTGAAATTTCGAAAAAATACTTACAAAGAGTAAGACAACTAGATTTCGAGGCAATTTTTCGATAGAATTGACTTTGGAGCTCGCACTGCTCCTGTTAGCCTATGAATTGAATAGAAGCTAAACATCAATTTCTGTACGGCTTGATGAGGCCTGTAAGACTAGCATACTTAAGAAACGTTTCATGGGAAAAGCTGAAGATTTTCAGATATTGAAAAATGTGAGGATCAATAGATTCTGGGTTTGACTACATAGGAATTTCGACCTTGGCATACCATATATGAATTCAAAATGTAAAGATGTAAAGATTTACTTCTAGTCGTAACCAGGTAATTAGATCGATAGATAGACAGTGATACACATAGGTAGATATCGGAGGAGTTTGTTCAGCATGTTAGTTAGATAGATAGGTAGGTCACTAGATAGTTAGGTCGAGTGTGGGTATGTTCACACAGATCGACATCCACTCATACGCACCCTTAAATCGAACTCATTCTTTACAATTAGGAAAAAAAGAAAAGAAATGAAAGGATAAATAAAGGTATACGACTAAGATAATGTATAATCTTTTTGTTTTGGGTGTTAGCACATTTCATAATAGTAGATGCATTGAATCCCAAGAGCATTGAACATGAATCTATTTTTTTCATGCTTTTTATAGCCAATAAAATGATTATCCAACTGTCGGAGGATGATCGGCCAGACTTTGTGAAAATTTCAGATTTCTTCACTAGCCTGAGTCCGCTCCGCTCATTTCAATTAGCAAAGAATATCACAGGAGATCTTCTCTATGGTGTTTTCTTGACCTGTGTTCGCGTATAGCTCGAAAAAAATTGGAAGAAAATTTCCATTTCTTCATTCGTCGTTAAAGAATCTGGTGTCATTCCGATAGTTGATAACCCTTAGAATAGGACTATCGAAATTTTTATAATTAGGAAGCAAACAAATGACAGCAGACCTCTTGAAATTCAACAATATCTGACGTTTTCTTCGGTAGACTTGGATAATGAGATCTACCGTCCAAAGGCTCGAAAATATAAGATACATATATATGAAGAAGCTATTCGGGCTAATTGCAGTCACCAATGTGTGCAAAAAGTCTTGCTAAAGACTTGGATACATTTTGATACGTTATTTTTCTACTTGGAAAGAAAGCTGAGTGGAAATTCACTATTTCTGATATCCGTTAGAATGGCAATACTAATCATTAATAAAACAACAAATTTTGAATGTGAATAGATTGCATTGTCATCAAATTTTCACCTAATGAATTGACAGATAATATCTAATTTTGTCTCCTTCTCATAACAGTGGAGACTTCAACAACCACGACAACAATAACAACAACAACAATAACATACACAAAAGCAAACTCTTCACAAATAATTGTCCCAATAACAAGTTCAGGTGATTCCATCGTCGGCTTATATAATACTTCAGCTGGTCAACCTACGGGTGCTTATAATGGCAGATATTCAAATTCTGCTGAAAATCCTCCAAAAGCTATTGATGGTTTGTTAAACACGAAATATCTTAATTTTGGGGTTCGAGGTACCTCTGGTGCCGTTCTAAATGGCCCTGGAGTAAATACTGGTTTTTTTGTAACGCCGACAATAAGTACTGCTTCTGTGGCTGTTGCTCTTCTTTTTGCAACTGCAAATGATTTTCCAAATCGTGATCCACTTACAGTAACTCTCGAAGGAACAAATGCAACAGATGTTGAAGCACTTCATCTCGGCTCAAGTTGGACATTGATATACAGTGGTCCAACAGGTATTGATCCTGCAACGGATCCTGGTCGCAACACATATATGCAACAACAAGATTTCTCGAATGCGATTGCTTTTAGAAGTTATCGACTACTTGTTACTTCGCAACGAGGTGATGATAGTTCTGTTCAATACGCTGAAGCTCAAATCTTAGGTTATTTTTGAAAAAACAAAAAAAAAATATTACTAATTTGAAACTAACAGTTATATACTTCAACCTTTAAATGTATTCTCTCAAAACTTTTCCTATAAACTATGTATCCCTATCTATATCATGCATTCAGTATTTTAATTTTCTTTGAAAGTTTGCCAAAAATAATCAAAATAAAACAAATATCTTTTCGAATTTTTTTAAAATTTCAAATATCAAGAAAAGAAGACGTGGGTATCGGCATTTTGTTGAAGAACAGAAGAACACCCACACCCAAGATTCTGTTTTTTTATTGATAAATATATAAAACTAGCATAAAATAAAGATAATTTTTATTCAACTGCTACAAGTACTTTTCCAATAATAATAATATGATCTCCATAGTGTAATGTAAATCGACCAAATTGAGGAAAATATTACAATTGTAACCTGGTTTGTAACCTAGTTATATAATTCATTTATGTTTAAGTATAGCAATTTATTCTCAATATATATAGATACATTTTCTTTTAATCAAATGTATTTCTTGCACATCGAAGATTCGTCTAAATTTACATAGTTCATATTGACTATCGCATAGAATAGATTCAAGTAAGATTTCTTGAAAAATTTTTGATGAAATAATAAAATAGGTTTACATTTTGTTCAACATCCTTTAATTCAAGTTTAACGTACTATCCACAAAAACCAGAGTCATCGTCGATGTGTCCATGATAAATATTTATACTTCCAGTATGTTTTCAATTAGGCATAATTATGCATTGATCACAAATACGACAACACCCAAATCCAATTTTATGTTCAATGATAATGAAAAACAAACTGGATATACTTCAGCAATTGACAATCAAAATCAGCTATTAATGTTAATATTAGATATTTGTGTATCAATAAAACTTTTGTCAAAATATGATCTTCAAAAATACAAGAAGTTAAAAGCATGAATCTTTTTTTTCTATAAAACTAACGTTGAAATTTCGTTTCAAGAAGATTTTTTAATAATATTATATATAAATGCTCATGCTTGATAATCAAGTTTTAGTTTTTATATATTTCAATGTACTTTAAATAAGTAGATGAATTGTATGATGTTTTAAAATCAATTTTTTTTGGATCTCTTGTTTTTGTTGATACCTTGATTCGAATAACAAATTTTTTATGATCGACGATCAACGATAAAAGATGTGCCCTAAGTATGTGAGTGCGTGGGTGTGCGGGGTTGTTATGGAACCTTTCTTTCATTCACACTCACACCCCATCCACACTTACAGCCACACACCCATACTCCACCCTTCAACTTGATTTCAACATGATTTCAACTTGATTCCAACTTGTTTTCGAGTCAGATTTTAGGTGATTATAATTGAATTGGAAATTCATCGAAAGGAAGCTTGACAATACAACAATCGACATTTTTTAATCAAATCTGTCGAATTCGACAAACTTGGATTCCAATTTTGTCGAATCGATAAATTTTTTTCGACAAATTTGCGATTGACATTTTTTGTATTCGACAAAATTGATGTTTCCCTTGCAATGATAAGCTTTTTACATAAAAAAAATTCGTTATCGTTTCAAAAGTGCACAGCAAAACAACCTCTAGTCTGTAAGGATGATTTACATGTGATAACCAATGTTTATTGAAAGAAAAAGAGAAGAACAGATTCTTTTAACCCTTCTAAGGTTATTTTTTTTGTGCTATCGATATTGCTCTTATCTCACGCTTTATACAGATAGAACACAACAGGGTCCTTGCTTTCATTCGTAGTTGTGTAAGAAGTTAAAACACATTACAGTGACTACCGTGTTAAGCAATATGAGCACTACAAAAAATAGCACAGTTTTAATGCCGCCACTTCTCGTCGATCCCGACAGTGAACTTTATACTGATGAGCCTATTTATGATCCTGATATTCATTTGGCATTGAGTGAACCTGATTTTGTCATCTTACTCGAGGGTTTTCAACATGTGCCAACAGCACCACAATTGTCTAAACCTGTATCAGCCACTGGAGAAAGTCAAATAGCTTACACAGGACCATTTCGAGTGTTGAGTGATGAAGGCTATCGTGTATTACGTATGATTCTCAAACGTGAAATGGCATATCAAATAAGTGATGAACGTCATCCAGCAAAAATTCGATTTGGTGGCTATCGTAGTAAATGGTTGCAAAATTTCAATCGATGTCCTCGTATTCTTGAACATTTATCACATATAACTGGTGATGTACAACTTATAACTACAACTCTTCAATCAAGTTATAGTCATACAAATATAGGCTATGCATGTCCAGACAACGTCGATTCTTTCCATCGTGATAGTGTGCCGTATGTTCTCATTTTACTAGCGTGTGATATGAGTGAAACAATTGGAGGAGAATTGCAACTTATCGAACGTGATCATGAAGAGGCTTTTCGTCTTATCGAACAATACAAGGGAAAAGTACCGAAAGAATTTATCCGAACAATTGACTATCTCGGTCCCAATTCATGTATGTTCATGCAAGGTGAGTGAGATTATATTGTGCTTCTATAAGAGAATATATTAATTATCATGTAGGTAGTCGTATTGTTCATCGAGTGACAAATATTCAGTCATGTACAGAGCCTCGAATAACAGTGGTCAATTCATACATGTCAACCAATCCATTTGCTGCTGAATGCACAAGATATGATACGTTTCGTAAAGAAAGAACGGGTCCATTGGAATTTGCCATGCATAAGATATGGCGCTCCAGTGCAATAATGCTTGATCTCGCGTCGGGCGAGTATCCATGGCCGACTCTGGATCAAGTTATTGAACGGCTAAACAAATCTATTGAAGAACTGACTGAATGTCGTGATCTTCTTACTGAGAAAAAATCGGATCGAGTTGGATTTTATGATGAAAAGAAACAGCAAATGGTATTCCAACGCAAACCTTCGACTGCATTTAAAACAGATGAAAACGAAACTTAATCTTTTCTTGTGTAAAATCAGGTCAAAGTGTTTCGTTTTGAATAAGTGATATACACTCACTAATGTTCTTTTACAAAGAGAATGAATATGGCATAAGTCTCTATTAAAAGTAGCCATGATTTTATGAACACTATCAAAGTATTGGTTCGATAACGAACTGACCCCATGCGTATAGTATTATTCAGACAAAATAGCTGTTTTTGTAGAACAATCTAAGTAGATGATTAGTTTTGAGAAACGACGACTTTTCTACAGAGACTGAAATGATTAGCCGTTTCATGGCTGGTTTCAGTAATTTTTCAACCAGAATCGACAAAATTTTGGTCGTAGAAAATCTATATCCAATGGGATACGTGCAGTACCTGAGCACAAATTTTTACTACTGTGTGTTGTTTGTGCTGAGATGTTGAAAGTTCTCAATCTGCGCCTTCTCCCTGTCTAGATTAGTCGTTTCCACACAATAGTACGATAGAACCAAAAACGGATTATTGAGTATTTTTTGTACAACAACTGCAAGAAAAATGTCTATTTTGTTCAATAAACATGTAGGAATGACTTTGTTCGAAAATAACTTTGAATATACTGCAATGAGTGCTGATCATACTGTCATAGCTCTCTTCGATGTCCCTAAAAATTGCTCTATAAACATATTAAATAAAAATACGCGCTGATATTCTGACTAGTGATAATATATCAACCAAAGATGTTTATCATGGCTGAAAACATGTAGTTGGTGGCTGCTATCATACAGTGATCGAAAATTAACTTCACCGCACTGCTTCGAAGTTGAAATAAAAAAACTGAAGTCATCGTGTTCTATCTGCTGTTTAAAAACACTGCGGGTGTGCTGTTAGCACGATTGACATCCCCGTGATCAACCAGAAGAAAAGTAATATAGGTAACGGAAGCTGCCTATGTAAGCAAAAAAAAATGAAGGAAGACGGCTAACATGACTAGTCAGAAATGTCTGCAACATCTGTCAGGTCTAGTCTGGGACGTCTTTCACATTCGTCATGACTAGTCACCTTTTGAGAAAATGTCCTTCAAGCACGTTTGGACCCATCCAGAATGTTCTTGAACCTCGTCATGCCTGGTCCGTTGACTCTGTCTATACTAGTCGGAAGTTCAAAAAAAAGAGGGTGAAAAATGACTTTGAACATCCAGCCCGACAGTATTCGAAATTTGATGGGCATCCTGGCTCGAGTGGATGTGGGTGTAGGTGTAGGTTGTGGATGTGAGTGTGAATGTGGCTGATCAGACTGGACTCACACCTATTCACACTCTCCACACCGACATCCAAACCCACACCGCTCCTAATAATATATTATTTCTCTATGTATGGTACGATTATCTTACGAACTGAGACATTGTCACAGTATGGCGTGATCTTTTGAATAGTACACGATCCACCACACATATACATATACAGTGATGCATTCTTTTCCTTCGATATGTACTTATTCTTTCTTTTTTCTATACACTTTCCTTGCCGGTTGTGATACGCTCTTTCTCAATAAACTGCATAAACTGGTGCTAACAGTTATCCCCTTACGTCAATTCCATCTTAGAAGATATTCATAGTTGTTTTATGCACCTTTAATATGTAGCAATTTTCAAGGCTACATTTCATCTAACATAACAATCACAACTATATTCTGATACTGTTATAGTTCATAAGCATCCGATCGACTACAAATACTGTGAATAAGTTAATCTTTTTATTTTATTTTCAC